AAATTCATATTTTTTCTGAAACTAATCGAAAATTTGACAAACGCCCTTCTCTTCGAATATGAACCCTAGCAATTGAATCGTTTGATGGGGTTAGAACTTGGAATTTGAATCTACTGCGATTTTGTCACTTTCGAGGGTGGCGGGATTTCGAATATATCGCACGTGTGTCTATTTGGATACAGAGATTTCGTTGTCTACTTTTACATCTCCTCCGCACCAGCGGAGGTGTAAATGCGTTTTTTTGCTTAAATTGGGAAATATGTTTGATTTGTTTCCGATAATTCATTTTTGTGTTTTTTTTAGTTTTAATTTTTTAAAAATAATTTTGTGTGTTAGATTTATTTTATTTTTCTAAATAAATGGACTTAAAAAATTTTAAATCTGGAGAACATATGATTTTACCTACAAACTAACATAAAGATATTTATGTAGAAAATTATAATTTATTTTAAACATTTTTAAAGTGTTTTTTTCTAATATTTCATACCATTGGAAGTGTAATGCAAATTGCATGAATATACGAGCTTTTCATTTTGAATTCCAATCCATCTCAATCGTTCATCATAGAGCTATTGGGTATTCCAAAACACCACTTGGTGTGCTGGCATCAAGCAGGCCCTCTACATCATTTTGTATAGCGGCTGATGAGTTTTGGACGAAATCTTGTTTCATTTAATAGAAGGTCAAACGCCATATTACATCAAAATGAACTCAAATAATTGAGTTCACACAAAATGCAATGCATACAGACATAGCCCACTATAAATAAAACTAACAAAATGCATAAGGCATATATAAAGGCATAAAGCCCACATAGAGGCGAAGGGCCCACATAAAGGTATAAAACCCACAAAATGCAAAAGCCCACAAAGCTCATTAGGAAACCCTAACACCATTAACGGACAAATGCCGCACAATCCTACATTAACAAGCCGCGCCACCGTAGCTAGCCGACACCCACCAAGGAAATACCAGTGATCAACAGAAAATGGTGGTGGGCAAGCCACCAAAGCTACACCAAGTAGGAGTAGCACTACCATAATCCAGGCAATTAGTGCGATTTGCACTTTAAGGACATCCCAAACTCCAACAGTTCCATCGAGGATAAACAACAGAAGAAACATCCGTGGAGTCAAGGAGCCGATGATAGTGGTTAAGACCAACCGATGTGACGCAGTCTCCAACAATGAGGAGAGAAAATGCATTGCAGATACCTGTAAATAACAACATAAAGTAAAACCGAAGCCTACACGGCCTAAAAGACAAAACAAATTAAACTTAAAAAAAGAGGAACTAGCTCTGCAAAAACAGAGCAGCACCCGTGGAGGAAAATTTTTTTTTTGGGGGGGGGAGGGGGAGAGGGAGGAGAAGGTAGGAAAAAAAAAGGTGGTAAAGGAGAAAATCAAAAAGAAGGAGATGAGAGAAAAGAACAGAGAGCAAAAGTTAAAAAAACAGAAAAAGTGAAGGTAGAAAACTGGAAAGAGAACAGAGAAGAGAGGAGAGGAAGGGGGACGAAGAAGAGAGGGGGAGAGGGGACCAGGGAAAAAAGGAAGGGGGGAAGAAGGAGAAAAAAAAACAGAAAAAATCATAACAAAGAACCAAAAAGATGGAGGAGAAAAGTGGCGGCGGTAGGA